CCACAGAAAGCTTCTCCACAAAACTGACCTTCCAGCTGAATTCCAAGTAGGAAAGGAGCTCACACATAAGGCAATTAAAAGAATGAACATTGGAAGCAGAAGACAGATCCATGGGCCACACACTCTGGGCATCATCAAGCAACCACATGCAAGCAGCACAATGGGGCACAGACAGCTAGCTAAGGGTACAGGATGGCTCTAGTAAGGCCTGCGGGGGGTGGGGGGGCAAGATTTGGGAATCAGGAGAGTATGAAGTGTCATTGTAATAGAGAGCTACTGGAAGATCCAAGTGACATAGATCTAGTTTTCTTTGTTTCTTTGTTTACTATGTGGGTCCGACTAGCCTCAAACTTATGATCCTCCTGCCTTGGCCTGAGTGCTGGGATTATGGGCCTGTGCCATCACAACTTGACCTCATCTTCATTCTAACAGTATCCTGGGGCTGCTGTGAGAGAGTATTTTAAGTGGATAGGGTGGGTGCGAAGTACTGGGAGGGGTGAATACTTAGAACAGCTGGAGGTCACCCAGGTCAGACATCTGTTCTAGTAAATGTCAACCTCACACAAACAATATCCATCTCATTTCTCTCTTACCTCCATCCCTACTCTTTTTTGAATTTACACACTAAGCCTTTATGAATCCTCTTCTCTCCATGTCCCTACACCCATCCTCAGGCCCCCACCCCCAGTTCAGGCCATTATCATTTCCAGTCTGGATCCCTGCCATGGCCTCCCAGAACGAGGAATCTTACTCAAACTCTGTCCTGGTCAAACACTTCAAGAGTCTGACACTCCTTGCAAGTCGCACACAGTGTGAGTCCCCTGCTTCACTTCTATCAGCCCACCCTGTCCCTCCAATATGCGTTTAGAAAAAGGCCTGGTCTGTGGTGAGCCCGGACTTATTATTATGTGTGCTCCCGTGATCCTCTCTGCTTGTCGTTGCATTTGCTGCGACCATGGCTGATTTGACTGCTCTCCACTAGACCAAGCAGCAAATGCTGCATTCATGCGGAATCTTTCTGGCCTCAGGACTCTCTCGTGTTCTTTGAAAATAAACAGATCTGGGGGTGGGGAGGGGTGCTGAAAACTCATGGGAAAGGTTTACCATTTAATAATTAAGCTCTGAGGCAGAGGGTCCAGAATAGCAGCTTGGATCTCAGCCTGTCTCCTAGCTTCCCATGAAGTCACATTCTAGCTGACAACCTTGGGTCAGCACATACTGCATGCCAGGGAAAAAGTTCCTGAGAGGAGTCAGTGCAGGCTTCGGGAGGTGGCATTTTGCCTCAGGATGCCCATCCTGACACTGCACGATGTGGTGATATTGTGTCCCCCAATATATTGTGCACCCTAATAAACATATCTAAGGTCAGAAAACAGAACTAGATAGACATAGATGCTAGAAAATGGTGGTACACACACCTTTAATCCTAACATTCCGAAGGGATATCCATCCAGATCTCTATGAGTTCAAAGACACACTGGAAACATCCAAGCATGATGACACTGGCCTTTAGTCCCAGGAAGTGATGGCAGGAAGCAGAAAGGTATATAAGACATGAGGTCTTATGTACCTTTTAGCTTTTGAGCAGCAGTTCAGCTGAGATCCATTCAGATGAGGAGTCTGAGGAAACAAGATCAGCTGAGGAATTAGCAAGGTGAGATTGGATGTGGCTTGTTCTGTTTTTGTGACTATTCAGCATTCATCATAATACCTGGCTCCAAGTTTGTTTTTATTAATAATGCCTTCTAACAATTTGAGTTACAGCTCGGTCCATCCCACTTGCACGGTGGCAGTTCAGGGTCCCCGTAAGATCTGAAATCCCACCCTGAACTTCTCTCTTCGCTCTCTTCACAACTGTCCCTCACCTGGAACCCTCTGGGACCGGGGACCCCAGTCTCCATTGCCGGCCATCTCTTACATTTTCTTAGCTACATCCAGCTTCCCGGGTGCTTCTGGATTCAGGATAAAAGAGCAGCAGCTGTCCCTCGGCCACCATAGAGCGCCATCCCACGTGCTGCTTTCTTTTCTGTCCAGAGAGGATTCTCACGTGATGCTTTGCGCCCTCCCGCTACACTGCCACCTAGTGGCCCCTGTATGAAATGCTCCTAGGCCCTGCTAATATTTAAAACAAACCAAAAACCAAAAAAAAAAAAA